GCAGCCTCTGCTGCTTGCAGGCATCAGCTGATCCCTGGTGCTGCTCTTTTCCCATTCTCTTATCTTCTTTTTCTTCTATGGTTTTTATTTCTTTCCATGTAAGGGTTTGGGGTTTTTTTGGATGGTTGTTCTTTTGTTCTTTTATTTTATTTATTATTTTTTCCTTCTTGTATCTTTGAGCTGCTAGCTGTGACCATCTTAATTATGCTTCTTCTCCCTGGATTTTTATTTTTCTTACCTTGCATCATTTTAGCTGAAATAGTTTCTCGCAGCTTAGTAAGCTTTATTCGTAGCTCTGAGTCGGGGTGACGGGGTCGTGCTATGCTGAACCAGGCTTTGGGTCATGGATAGCTGAACTCCTGAGCCAAGAACCTACTAAATGCATGGCTCACCAATGCTAGACATAGTTTTCCATCAGCTCACCAACATGTTTTTCAGTTGTGTGCGTTGTGTGTGCCCGATGGGCAGAAATGGCAGCTGCACTTCCCTCAAAAGAAGTCTGTTATTGCACATGCAGCAGGCTGTTGGCAGCTGTTATCTGGGTGGCCATTAATGGAGGCACCGTGGCAGAGGGCATGGCGGGAGCAGCAGTGCTCTCTGAAGGGTCCTGGCCAGTGCCTGAAGTTGGAGCAGTACTGCGTTACCATGAATTGTGACCAGGATGGGCCTTCAGGAGCAACATGTTCTGTCTTAGTCAGTAAGACACGTAAGTCCTAGTCACCCAGATAGGCTCAAAGACCATGGGCTGGATCTTTACTTTTATCATAAAACTTCTAGCTAAAGTAGCTATACCAGTGGTAGAGTAGTCATATCTCTTAAGCAAGCTTAGACTCAAATCCAGTGAATCAGCTAACTGTGATGTTATATCCTTGTATCCTCATGGTATGGCATTTCAGACCAGTACGGGACACATACAGCACCAGGTCCGTACTTCTCATTATCTCATGATGATGGGAACACTGACCATGAGATGCTGAGAGAGATCAAAAGAGCAGCGATAATGAGAGACACTGCCTAGCCATCTGCACTGGACAACAGCTATGGATTTCAACTTCAAGGTGCTGCCAATGACCATTCCATGGATCACCTTTTCAGGGAGCCTTTAGGAGAAGAAGCAACCCTTGCCTTGATACTGAGTAGTACACAGGATCTGCCTCAATGTGTTGCTTTCTAATTTCTGTTGCTGTTCCCTGGAACAGGAGACGGCACATACTTATATTTAACATCCATGTAAGAACAACAAAGCAAAAAAATTATTACAACTGCATCTACCTTCAGAAGGATCAACTCCATAAAAATGAGGAAGTATGTTAAAAAGAACTTCAAAGACAGCTGCCAGGGACGGGGCATCTACAGCTTCTCTGGGCAAAGAGACAGCTGAAAGACTAGAGTATCTATGGTCGGTGTATTTGATGTATATATTGCTTTAGGTCATGGTACTGGAATCAGAGCAAATGCCTACCAAGAAGGCCTTAGGAAAGGGTAAACCAAAGCTGATAAGGCTAAACAGCAGCGTGAGGGAGTTACGAGAAAAAAGAAGGTATTGTTCAAAAAGCTGGAGTTGTGCCCAAATGACGAACAGAGAACAGATCCAGCTTTGCCAGATTAAATGAGGGAACACAGCAATGCCAAAAGTGATTTGGAGGAACAAGTTAAAAAAAGACAGCAAAACTTTTGATAAATTTGCAAACACGTAGTGGGCAACAGGCCTTTCGAAATGTCTGTGAGCCTGCTAGATGATCAGAGCTGAAAAGGAGGCACAGGGGAGTCTAGTGGATGGCTGGTTATATCAGGTAGAGGTTATCACAGTAAAGAGCACATTTTAGGATGAGGTCTCATGAGATCCCAAACCAGCCTAACATGCTTGCAGTCCTCAAAAGAAGCAGTCCCTTGATTGTCTTGTGTCTCCCTTTTCCTTGCCTCATTCTAGCTAAATAGTCCCTCTCCCTTTTTTGTGCTGGCTCTTACATCTTCTCTTGGACGTGCTTCACCAAGATGGTGAGCTGATAGAGACAGCAGAGCTTGCTGAAGCAGCAGGAAGATCTTTTCAAATTCAGTTGGCTTATGATTATCACAGCCAATGCAAAATAAGAGTAGGGAAGACCTAGAGTAGGTGTTGGGGTGGGGTGAGGAAGCAATGGAGGTGAAAGAGAGCCAGGGATTGAATCATAGAATCATAGAAGGGTTAGGGTTGGAAGGGACCTTAAAGATCATCTAGTTCCAACCCCCCTGCCATGGGCAGAGAAATCCTCCACTACACCAGGTTGCCCAAAGCCTCATCTAACCTGGCCTTGAACACTTCCAGGGATGGGGCATCCACAACTTCTCTGGGCAACCTGTTCCAGTGCCTCACCACCCTCAGTGTAAAAAATTTCTTCCTTATATCTAATTGAAATCTCCCCTCTTTCAGTTTAAATCCATTGCCCCTAATTGAAACTGTCTTCTCGCCCCCTTCAGGAAGCAAACTGTGGGACTGATGATGCAGCCTGCTTAACTGTAGAGTCCTCTTGCTTCAGTTAATTCTCTGCCAGCTTATCAATCTGAATTGCCTCGCCAAGGGCTCGGATGAGAGCCAGAGGTAATGCAGATGAAATACAGGGAGCATGTAGCTGGAAGAAGGGCTGCTGGCTTCAGCACAGAGCTGCCAGTGCAGTGCAGCCTTGGGTCACCATGGCACAATGAATTCAGGTCAGTGCAAGGAGATATTTCTGCCAAAAGGAGTCTTCTCCAGACACCTGTTCCTGCCCTTTTGCTGCTCCATCCCATGCGTCAGCACAAGTTGTGAAGTGCTTGGGGTTAAAGCTATTGTGGCAAAGAAGTCTTTGCTGACCCCTTCTGCTCTGGTTGTCCATGTGAATGTTTACACTAGCAACAGTGCCGAGACCGAAGCAAGTCAGGGAGTTTGGAGAGAGTGCAGAATCACTCTTAAGGGGCAGTGCCAGTTTAAGGTGTTTACAAAAACTATGGCATTAGAACGTTTTTGTGTATATAAAACATATACTCGCTCTTTCCCCTAGCCCCTTCTTAGGACTAGTTTGGAATTGGACTCTAATTCAACGTGGTCTGAGATTTAAAATGTTTATCGGTAAATTTTTTTTTGTCTTTTTCTAGGCATATGCAGAATTGTTTTGGAGCTATCACATCAAATATCTGCGACAAGTCAGGAGGGACAACTACTGTGTACTACGAGCAGTACTTTTTCAAATATTCAGTCAAGGCATTCCTTTTCCATCATGGATGAAGGAGAGAGATATTTTAAAGGTAAAATCTTATTTTCTAAATGAAAATGATTCAGGTGACCTTGCACTGCAGAAGGAAGCTTTTCTCAAAGTGAAAACTGATGTGTCTGCTGTGGAAGTAGAGGAGAATCGTCGTCAGAACTTAAAGAGAAGTTTTGCAAACTCTTTGAATTACACTTAATTGAAAAAGTGTCCCTGATCTAAACATACTGAAGTGAACGTGAGTCTAAATGGTTTAAAAAAAAAAAAAAAAAGAAAAAAGTGGATAGATAAACGTTACTGCCACCCCACTAGATGCCACTTCCTTAACACGAAAGGATATTTGAATCCTCATCCACACTTGTGCAGAGTCTAGTGGCTGGGGTGGGGGCGGCTGGG